TTTTTAATTTTTGGAAAAACTTTAATTTTAACTTTTCACATGACATATTTAAGACCACAAGATTAAAGAGCATTTTGGTATATTTGTCATAAATTTTAATTTAGAGCCACAAGATCAAAAAAAATTCTTTCTTTTCTTAAACTCCATCCAAGTCAAACTAGACCATTCTTTTTTAAACGGAGAAAGTAATGTATAAACACTTTTAATTTACCTAAATACTTCAAAAGTGCTTACAATTTTTTTAGTTAAATACACTTAAAACAAGTCAATTCAAACACTCTTAATCAAACACCACCCAAGTTCAATGTACTAATGTGACATAAAAAATACATATTCAAATAAAGTTAATCATTAATTAAATTTCTTCGTAATCTAATTACTCATTTTCTTAACTAAAAAAGATAAATTCTATACAACTTATTTATAAATTAAATAAAACTATTACCTCATAGTAAAACACATTTTCAAGAAAACATTAAATTCAAATCTTAAGTATTTGACCACATTCGATTTTGTAACCAAATTTTGCAAAAACATCCCATAGGTTATTTTAAAGAAATAGTATAAATATATGATAATAATAATAATATAATAAGATATTAAAATAATATTTACAAAAACCGAATTTTGACCATGATAAGAGTGAACCATTCATCTAGCAGCAAAGAAGAAGAAGAAATGGTGAGATTTTTAGTTGGAAGAGATGAACATGATAATGATGAAGGAGGACCCTGTAACTCCAGCACATCTGTATGCAAGAGACGGAGGACTACCGCCGGAAATTTCTCTCGCGGCGTCGTAATCCGTCAACAAGAAGAAGTAGAAGAAAGAGAAAGGGAAAGGGTTGTTCAGGAAAATTAGAGGAAGAGGCAGAGGAGGAGGATTGGGGATCGGAATCTGAGGGAAATTTCCGATCGAGCGGTGATCGGAGGGTGCCAGTTCGTGAATCCGAGGTTTTAAGAGAGAACAAGTCTATTTCTGGTGAGAGCGTGTATCAGAATTTTGAGGATTCAATCATAAACAGGTCAATTTCTGTGACGTTATTGGATCCGGATGTGTTGGATTGCCTGATCTGCTTTGAACATCTCTGTGTTCCTGTCTTTCAGGTTTCTTCTTTTTACCCTTTTCATTGCTATTAGGAGTATAAGAATTTATCTGTGTTGGAATTAATTGTGTTTGGAGAATTCTTAATTTTCCTTTAGAGGTTTTTGAAGACATGGTCTTGAATAGAAGGGAATTTGTATTGACATTTATAATCTGACCAATATACTTTATTGCTCTTAGGGTGTAAAAGTTACAGTTTTTGTTAATCCAACAGTGGGGTTTGGGAGGATAGAGTTTACGCAGACTTTAACCGTGCCTGGTGGAGGCGGTTTTAAAAAATAAAATATAGAAGTAGAGAAGACATGTCAGATAATAGAAATATGATTACTTAGCATTCAGTATTGCATTGGAAAAGCATAGGAAATGTGGATCTGTTAAAGAGTTTAGTTGGGAGAATTGCTGACAGTGGAATGACTGTGCTTATCCCATCTCATGTGGTTCTAATTTTGAAGTTATAACATTTCATTAAAATTGGAGAATAACTGGCTAATATAGGTCTTTGTTTTACTGGTGAAGTCATAGTCTTGATGGCGTAATATTCAAGTTAGAGGAAGCACTGGGTTATGATGGAGAATAATAAGACACTTTAAGTGGGGAGATGGCTACCAGGTTCAATCAAGTTAATCTCATTCTGACTAGAGATTACAAATGGGTGTCATTGTAAATGGGTTTCTTCTTTTCGCATCCCGATTTAATCTGGGCTTAAGTTACATTGTAATTAGGCTTTTTTCTTGCAAAATATCTGGTGAGATAGTTTCTTCCCTTAATGTTATTGTTGTGTTTCTAAAGATCGCTAATGCCCAAATTTCCCTGTTCCTTTGACAATAATACTTTATCCCACTTCACAAGGTGGAATTAATGCTCTTCACGGTTTCCTTCCCATAGGAAGCCCTTCTCAGACCAACTAGTTGCTCTTTCACCTCATATGACATTGGGATGAGGGACGTAGGTAGGTACGCTGTCTTATACACTATTGATGGGGTTAGCTTTCCTCCCATAAATAGATATTGCATGTTCCAGTTTGCCAGCGTCTTCTCCACCTTTTCCATCACTACATTTCATATCTCATGTGCTTTCTATTTTGCATCCAAAGGGAGACCAAATTAAGTAGAGTGGAAAGAGCATGTGCCATACCCCAGGATTCCGTGCCAGGGTATTCAAAGTAGACTTCGTTGATAGGGTAGATCTGGTTCTTCATCATGTTAATATGTAATCCAGAGACAGCTTCAAACAGCTTCAGATTTAGATTGAGATATAGAACTTGAAGTGCCTCTGCCCCACAAAGGATTAGGGTATGAGCAGTGATAGAAGTTATTAACTGTTTGTTGTTCCTTCTTGGAGATCTATCTAATAGAAGTTATTAACCGTATACTATTTCATTTTTGGAGATCAATCGTGATAGAGGTTATTAATTGTATACTATCGTGATAGAAGTTAATAATTGTATACTATTCCTTTGTTGGAGATCTATCTTGATAGAAGTTATGTACCTAGGCCTCTTTTTAGAACTCTTGGTTTTAGCTCACGGTAACTTAAGATTTAATCTTGTTACTGCATTTAAAAGCATACTAAACTGAGGTTCAGATCCTAAATTCTACGTCCTTCTCCTTGCCAGGGTGGTTAATTTATGTCCTTTTTCATCTAAGGTTGAATATAGCTATTGGTAATCAATTTGTTGTTATTGCAACAAAATATTACATTTTAATGCATGAGCGTGTTTTAAATGAAATTATTGAGTCTTTTGGACGAAGCAAGAAATTAAAGCCATGACTCTAGGTTTATGGCAAATGCTAATACAAAGAGCTAAATAGTGAAATTTAAGTACGATTTATTTACGCTTTCCATGTAACACATTTTTCTTTATCCCTACTTCTTAAGCTATGTACTTAGATAAACCTTGAAAATTTATAAGCATGCAGAGTAGAGTAAGCTATCATCTGCAAACATTCTAACTGCTTGCAATGAATATATTTTCTGACATCCTTTTTTCTTTCTGGACAAAAATATAGTGTGGGAATGGGCACATAGCATGTGCCCCTTTCTGCATCAAGATTGCTAATAAGTGTCCATCATGTTGTTTGCCAATTGGATATAACCGTTGTCAAGCTATGGAGAATGTTCTAGAATCTCTGAAAGTGTCAGGCGTGAACAATAGGAATGGTTGCAAGGAGATTCTGAATCTTAGTAAGAAAATTGACCATGAAAATGTATGAATCTATG